ATACTTGTGATTTTAAAGTTATTTAGCTTTTTAATCAGCAGATCTAAACTTTGCAGTCTCAGCAATCTGGTTGCTAGGGTCCAAATTAGCATAGCAACCATGCATTCATCTGAAGAAGAGACTGGAATATAATTAGTGGATGGTCTAATTAGTAATATGAGTAATAAAAACTCACAATAACATCACATGTGTAGTCTTACAGAGCATTTCTAGACCCACATTTTAAAGCTGGAAAGAGTCCTTTAATTTTAAAAATAAATAATGAAGGACAACTGAAAAGTTGCTTAGACTTGGCCATTCTAGAACATACTTAAAAGTTAACTTAAAGGTGAACCACCCCTTTAATGCAGTTTCTAAACATTTGTACTATAGTGGGGAAATGGTTAATAAAGAAATGGCTGCCATTTTGTCTATGTTACAGCTGCACTTAATAACTAGTAATGAACAAACAGCAAAGTTGTAAAGAAAAGCACAAGAAACTCCTCTAATGCAAAACAGGAGCAATATTTTAGCAAAGAAGTGAAATACTAAAGGGGAAATTAGACATTTATCTAAATGATGTGAATGTGGAAAAAAGGAGTCAGATGTTTGTTTCTATAAAATTCAACTTACTTCTCCAGTCTGTGTCCACTCCTTCACTGCCCTCTTTGCTCAAAATGTCCAGAAGCCGGCGCTCGTAGGGCTTCAGTCTGAGTGGAGGGACTTGTCCTCCGCCGGTCTTCTGGGCTTTAGCTCTCCTGGTAACCAGCTTTGCCCTTAGCCAACGCTTCAGGTCACTGAAGCGCTTGTACACTGTGGGGCGATCCCTGTGTAAAGCGCCCACAGTGTTCACCTTGTCCGTTACCTGCTGCCAGTGGTGTTGACGTCTGGCAGCACTGATACGATGGGACCGACTCCCAAACAGCACATCCCATCGCGCTAACACCTCATCCACCAGTGCTCCATTCTCATCACTGGTAAACCTTCGGGCCATTTTGTTGGTGGGGCCCTCCTCTCCTCCGTCATCATCACCCTCCTCCTCCTCCTCCTGTCTCCTCTCTGAGGCAGTTGGTGGTGCCTCCATCTCCTCCTCGCTGCTGGGCAGCCTCTGTGTCCTCCTCCTGGGGGAGCCTCTCCGAGCCCTGGGTGGGGTGCGTGACACGCTGCGTGCCCCAGATGGCGAGCGAGACACGCAGCGTGCCCTGGGGGACTCCCTGCGTTGGCTGGGGGACACCCTCCCTACACTATGCTCCTGCCCCCCTGCCCTACGCTCCTCCCTCCCTCTA